GACACCCAACTAATCAGAATGAATGCTTAATCAATCTTAATTAAAACCAACCAATCAGAATGGACACCTGACCCATCAGAATAAATGAAGTGTGTACCAGCCAAATATCTGCCTCCCATTTATCATTAAACTTTTCACCTGTGCGTTCTCTCCTCCATTAGCTGGGCAATAAACTGAGGACAGGGACCACGTGAGAGACTTCTATAACCTCCAGGTGGCCTAGCTGAGCTGGTTGTATAGTGTGAGCTTAATGAATATTTGTTTGAGTGGACATTATTCACGTAGTGATTACTCAGGAAACATCAGTGGGTAGAAAGAGTATAGTTTGTCCCTCTCTGATAAAGATAATTATAGAATTATCCACTGGAACATCACTAAACAAATAGCATGTTTTTTGATGACACACAGGTGATAAAGAGAAATTGGTGTTTTTGAGGAGTTATCATTCAATATGATCTTGACAAGCTAGAGAAATAATATAGGATAACACTAGTTTCTTAAACACAACAATGAGTAGTATACTTAGAAAATGAATAACATACAAATAAAAGCTAGAGTACAACCAGAAAGGTATTGGTGAGGCCCAAAATACCCAAGTCTTGTGGCAAATAATAAACTGAAGGTGTCCCAGATGTTTTTAAAATACCTTGACTGCTGGCATGATAGTCAGTTGTTCATCCATTCAACAACTCAGTTGGGTACCTAATGTGTGTAAGGCATCATGCTAGGCATGCTGGGAACAAAGTGAAAAACTAGCAATGTCCTTTTTCTCCATCAGCTCAAGTTTTAAGGGAGAAGACAAAGAAGTACACAAACTATTATTAGATAACAGAGAGACAGCTTATTCGATGGCTGAGTCATCAGTCAGTGAAAATAATCACCGTGAAGGACATCTTTGTAGCCCACCGGGACAGCTGTGCTCCACAGATGGCAGAGGACCAGAACTCACGAGTGTTGGGCAGAAGCGTCAACACTCATGGGTGCAGACTGATGGCCAGAAGATATTTTGCCCCTAATTTTTCAGGACCACCCAAGAGCCTGGATTCTTGTAGGATACAGTTAAAGGGAGGAAAAGTCCCAATGACGATTGCTACCAGTTGTGCCAGCCCTTGACAAGTAGGAGTCTCAGCCAAATATAATTTCATTTAAGCAATTAAGAAAGGTGACATTTCTTGCACTCAAGTGTCACGGAGCAATTTAAACCAGTTAAAGAATGCCTGAATTGATTTGAAAATTTGCCTAGAGAACACATACACCCTCATGAATATGTTTGTAGATTCTTGGAGGTCTTTAACCCGCAGGATGATTAAACTACTGTAAGAAGTGAATAATGCCTTTGGAATTGTGCAACACGGCAGTCTTGCCTGCTACCATGAGTGAAGCTAGCCTGAGTATAAACTAAACATATCGAGGAGGGCAGCAACAAGAGACTACAGAAAAATGAACTAGAGTCTGATCAAAACCAAAAGCTCACAGAGACCTCACACCACACAGACTTCCTTTTTGCATCATTAGAAAATGCACAGAGAAGAACTCAGATTGACCCAGCCAGGTCATATGCCCATCTCTGTGGCTGGAGGAGTAAAGTACCATGATTCACAGTCACCAGTTGGGGAGGAGCAGCTTCCAAAAAGCAGGAAGAAAAAGTGCTGGCTTGACAAAAAACACAGAGGGTAGACTACTTGGACATCTAGATTTCTGTAAGTCAAGCTGCCATGTGCAAAAGCTTCAATAAACATTTTCAAGGTCAAATTGAATGTGCTGGTCCGCCTAGTGCTCTGCAGTGATGTAGTATTTCAAGGGTGGGTTTGGGTAACTGGTACAAGAGTATTGATGTGGTTTCCTTTAGAAAGAGATCTAAAGATGCCATTTGGAGAAAGAAAGTGGCAACCTGTCACCTTTGGTACCTTTAGATCTACAAATAGGTTGTCCAGTCTTTTGAGCAAAATGCCTTGATTCAATAGTATTGTTACTACCACCAAAACCTCATTTCTAAGTAACATACTGTTGTACAAAATATGAAGATGAACAATGCATAAAAGAAAAAATGGGATTCTTTGAAGCAATGTCAATGTATCAAAATGCTTGGATGGTTCAACGGTGGTGCACAGACTTACCTGTTAGAAAGTCACAATGTTATATACACTTGGTAGCAGAGAAAGACCAGGGAAGTGAGAATAAAACAGAATTTTTTAAAAAAATTCCCATCAATTAACAAAATTCCCCTAAGGAAATTTAGGGACTTTAAAATTCCTAACTCTAGCTTCTTTTCTGACCTTAGGTTTTTGTTTTGTTTTTTTTTACTACATCAGTGTGTTCTTTTTATTTATTTATTTTAAAAATAATCACCTGAGGATACATTTTTATTGATTTTAAAGAGAGAGGGAGAGAGAGAAACACTGATGTGAGAGAAACATGGATAGAGATCTCTAACTAGAGATCGAACCCGCAACCTGGGTATGTGCCCTGACTGGGAATGGAGCCTGAGACCTTTCGGTATATGGGAGGATGCTCCAACCAACTGAGCCACACCAGCCAGGGCTTTTTTATTTTTATTTTTTAAGATTTTTCTATTAATCTTTTTTAAAAAGAGAGGAAGGGAGCGGGAGAGAGAAAAATCCATCAGCTGCCTCAGCACGTGCCCTGACTGGGGATCAAACCCCAAATCTGGATATATGCCCTGACTGGGAATTGAACCTGAGAGCCTTGGGTGCATGGGGGGATGTTTTAACCAACTGAGCCACAAGGGCCAGAGCAGTGTGTTCTTATTCACACAAAAAGAGAATGCCAACAGTTGCATGCAGATAGTGGGACTAAAAGTTACTTTAATCAGCACACATTTTATAAAAACGATCCCACTGTCTTTGCAGGTATCTTTTTTCTTTTTCAGAATAAAGATGAACATGTAGCACTGAGCTGTCCACACTTGTTCAGTCTTGGCTCAGGCAAAGTTCAAAGACTTGCCCAAGAACTGGCTGGGGCAGGGAGGGTCCGCCTGGGGCAGAGGGCAGAAACCCTCCTCATTAGGCAGCAGAAATTGTGACTTTTGACCTCCTTAGAGCTTTGTTCCCATCAAGTGGGCTCTAGGAATTAGACTTTAGATCAGTGATGGCGAACCTATGACACGCGTGTCAGAGGTGACACGCGAACTCATTTTTTTGGTTGATTTTTCTTTGTTAAATGGCATTTAAATATATAAAATAAATATCAAAAATATGAATCTTTGTTTTACTATGGTTGCAAATATCAAAAAATTTCTATATGTGACACGGCACCAGAGTTAAGTTAGGGTTTTTCAAAATGCTGACATGCCGAGCTCAAAAGGTTCGCCATCACTGCTTTAGATTAACAGCAACCTTCTGGGTACTATATGATCAATAGGTGTGAATTAATGATACATTTCATCTTCTTTCCATATAGGTGAAGGCCAACACTAGGGCCAACTAAATCTTTCATACCAAGACGAAGAATGAAATATCACTGTCATTGTATATGAAGTCACAAAGATGTGTTTTATAAAAGCCTGCTATCTTGTTCAACTAACTGTCCATGTTTTTTCTTTATTCCACTAATGGTTGGGTCCACTGGTTCCCTTAATAACCTCCTATAACCTACCAGAAGTTGTTTCCTTTGATCTAAGGTAAATGCCTAGGCCAGTTTCTCAAATATTTTGGCCTCAGGACCCCTTTATCCTCTTAAAAATTATTGAGGACCCTAAAGAGTTTTTGTTCATGTGGGTCTTATCTGTTGGTATCTGACATATTAGAATTAAAACTGAGAAGGAAAAAGAAGAGATGAGAGACAGAGAGCCCTGACTGGTCCAGACCTCCTTAGCTATTTATTTGTCCTTCAGCTTTACCTGAGCCAGTAAACTCTACTTTCTGGAGAACTTGGTCTGATGGGGTTTCTGCTACTAGAGAATGAAAGAGGCCTGAATGGTAGTACATCCACAAAAACAAAAAATAGTCTAAGATAGTAAATAAAGGATTAAATCGGGTATGACAGAATGTTGCTTTCCGCTCCTTCATTTGTCATCCATTAAGTGAGGGCCTGTCTTCTGAGGGTTGAAGAAGGGAACCATCACTATTAACATTTGTACAAGGCCTTGTGGATTTCAAAGTGTTTTCACATTTAGTTTTCCCTACAATCCTATGAAAGAGTTAGTTTTATACCCATTCTACAGAGGAGAAAACCGAGGCACAGCTAAACCAAGACAAAATCCAAATCATAGGCTCTAGATTCCCGTAGTCATCGTTCCTGCCTCGCATGATGCTTGCAATTTTTAAGGGCATAGACCTGTAGCACAATCCTACTATGTTCAATTCCAAGATTGTTTTTTTATCCATCCTCCTGCGGGGAGAGGGGAGTGGTCTGCATAGCAGATCCCCTAAAATACCCATCGTATTTGGCTTTGGTCTGGAAGTCTGAAGAAGAGCACAGGAGTGTGGTTCAAGTTAGAATGGCAATCATTCTTTTCCAGCTCTGTAACTGAGGAGCTGCGGGAGGGGGCTTAGAGGTGGTGCAGGGCAGGCACTGAAGGAGAAGCCAGCTAATGCACTGCAGATAATCCACAGGCTGTGCCACAGCAGCGATAAGGAAAGAAAGCATCTCAGCTCTGGGTCCCGGCGGCAGAGATGCAGGAACCGCGGGATTCAGATTCCTAGGTCCTGGATTTGAAAGCAGCCCGCACACAAAAGAAATGACGAAGTTGAGAACCCGATAATGCACTGCAGATAACCCACAGGCGCGATACGCAGAGTTCGAAACTGGGCCTCCCTTCCTCACTTGGATGGAAACGCCTAGTGCACCTGGTCGCCCCTCCCAGAGCGGACCTTCTTTTATCCTGTGGGGCAGTCCCCACGGCCAGAGCCAGACGCGCCAGGCACGCCCGAAGCTCCTCGAAGGAACTACCAGTCCCATAAAGCGCTGGGTTTCGGGGCGGTGATGACAAAACCCCCGCGGATTGGCCACGCGGGGCGGGGCGCGCAGGCCTTCTGCTGCTCTCGCTCCCGGGTCAGACGGCCGGAGCGAGAAGATGGCGAAGACGTACGATTATCTGTTCAAGCTGCTGCTGATCGGCGACTCGGGGGTGGGCAAGACCTGCCTCCTTTTCCGCTTCTCGGAGGACGCCTTTAACACCACCTTCATCTCCACCATCGGTGAGGGAGGGGCCGCTGCCAGGGACGGGGAGTGAGAAACAGGGGGCGAGGGCGAGGGCGA